TGTCCCCATCTACAACACTAACTCTCCTCATCAAGAGATTATGTTGGGTGAGCAAAGAAACAGTTTCAATGCTGCACCTTTTCTCTGCACTTACTTACCCAGCCTAATTTCTTATTCATCACAATAGTAAGAGAGCAGGTTCTATTTTGAGGAATTGTAGAAACTGTGGATTTAATTGCAGGACTCTTCAGACTCAATGAAACAGATCTATTTCTGAGTGTTCAGAAAGCTTAAGGAATTATGTTTTGGTATAAAAGCTTTACTCATTGCAGTCACGAGAGACCATGCATGCTGTTACTCTCAGGATCAAGTTGCCTGGTCAAGCTTGAGCATAGGATTCACATTTTAAATGCAACAGCTTTCTATGGGTAAGCTTGTAAACTGGTGACTAGTATATGAAATGATATTATTAAAGGAAGAAAAAATTAGCAGTGTGTATTCTTATTTTAAAATTTGTTTTCTGCAAACTGTACAACCAGGGTTAAGCTTAGAGAACTCAGTTAAAATTTAATACTGTTAGTAATATTCAATCAGGTATATATTAAATTAATTAAAATAGAAAAGGGATCCTATGGGCTTAAAATTAAAAAGGAAACAAAAATTTAAACTCACTTGGATAAAAAAAAAAATCACACTAAAATTTTCATGGCCATCTGGTTCAATTCATATTTTACAGATTGCTTTCCAGGCTGTGTGGGAAAAAAGTAGAAAACTCAGTTCAAAAGCTTTTATCCTTTACAAATAAGATGCTTTCACCTTAGTTTTCCTTAGATCCCTTAAAATTTTTAGTAAACAGTAGTGTTTATGATTTTCTGCTAATACAGTTTGGTTTTATTCTCTGTAATAGTCCTGTTTTCCTTGAAGCTTTACTCTAAAATTACATTCTTCTAACCAACTTCTATAATGAAATTAATATCCAGTATTTAACTTTTTCCCAGCTTCACTGAGATACAATTGACATATAACATTGTGTCAGTTTATGTATTGATCTGATACTTTTACATATTGCAAAATGATTACTTCTACAGGTTAGCTAGTAGCTTCACCACATAATTACCATTTCTTTTATGTGATAAGGAGTTTCTGTTTCTTAAAGTATCTGAAACATATGACTGATGGATTCAGTGTTGACGGACAGACTTCTGAGAACAAATCAGCTTTTATGCATCTCTGGATAAAAAAGTAGTGTTAAAATATAGGGACTGCCTGTACGTGTGTTTTCGTATTTGATGAATACTCTGTTCCCCTTTGTGTCCGGCACGTGTGAACTCGGTGGTGGTGGCGTGGGGAGCACAGGGCAGGCGCTGCGTGGGAAGAGTGTGTGGTCAGATGTCCACCTTCTGAACTGTAGTGAAAGGGACTCCCTGGTGTCCTCCTAGAAGAACTCATTTCTGCAACTTTCTGAAGGAAGCACTTGGAACCAGATCTCTGCTGGATGTGGAGGTCGGAGATACAGGAAGAGGGAAGAGAGTGATCTTGTCCTGCCTGTCAGCTGCCCTAAAGCATCACCACGTGACATTTATAAGTTTCACCAGATGTAAAACACAGGAGTATGTCCTGGGGGAAAGAATTTTACACAAACAGACAATGGATAAGGTGACTTGGCAGTCTTTCCTGTCTCTCATTTCTTTGATGGTTTTGCTTCCTTAGGAAAAATCTGCAATTGTTGGACTTTTTTTCTGCTGCATTGTAAATACTTTGCAGCTGTTTCTCTTGTCTTTACTGTTTTCTATAAAATCACCATGGTTTTGAGAAGACATCCTTTTAAAAGCCATCGATGGCTGCAGAGGGCAGAAGGGGAATTATTGAAAGTACAAACACAAAAAGAAGTTCTAGAATCACTGACCTGACAGCACTGTTTTGTCTCTTGGTAGTGAAGTTGCTTATTCTGAATAATTTGTATCTACTGGTCTGGCAACTTAAAATAAACAAAGCATTTTAAGGCCGTTAAGGAGTATTTAGAATGTACTTAGTTGAGATGGAGGTTCTAAACATTTAAGCTCAGTCATCTTGCAGGTGATTCATGGTGGGGGCCTCTTTGGCCTTGCTGAAGGGTGTGGAGGAAGAGAGGACACAATTTTGCTAAAAATTCAGCTCTGAAGGCACTTATTTTTAGTAACATAGTCTGTTATTACCTTCAATTATTGTGGAAGTTAGAGTGTGCATAAATCTCTTTGTGATCATATAATACATTGTAAATTAGTGCAGGTGCATTGCAACACAAGTACTTTTTACAAGTTATGTGGCCATCTTAAAAATTTCACACTTGCAAGAAATTTTCTCCCTTTCTATACTGATTAAGTTGTCTAAGTCATATCTATGTTTTCTCCTACTTAGAGAGTTTTTCCTGAACTGTCTATCTGTTTTCACCTTTAGAAAATGAAATTTGTTAATGAGACCAGTCCAGTTGTCTATAGTTCAAATGATTCTGCTAATGTTGATAATGCTCTTTACTTGAAACTTGTTACCGTGCAGTTTCTAATTGTGAGCTCTCTAAGCTTGGGAAGGTCTTTTTTGGGGAAAATTCTGTCGTCATTCTTTGAGGGAACTTCACATATAATTTTGGATAGTTGAAACCAGGTAGAAATAGTGGGAAAGAGTGCATTCTTAGCTAGAGTGAAGACTCTTTTTCCCCTAGAACAACTTGATCTGTGTTGTAAAAACTTGTGGTGTCCACAGTAAATCTCTGAGGCAGAGGACAGGGTTCCAGGTGCCTGCGTGGCCCCTGAGAGGTGTGGGTACGGGCATCTGATAGCTTTTTACAGAGGCAGGGGGTGTGCTCCGTGATTCCAGGTTGTGGACCACGACAACATCACACTGGGTGAGAGAGCGTTGCTGTTTACCTTCTGAGGCTTTTCTAGCTTGACTGTGCCTTGCTGACAAGCTCAAAGGCATGTTTTTCCCGTAAGCTCAGGTGACTCCTGGGTAGCAACTTCACACATAAAATAAAGCAGAAAATTCAGCAATTAGGCCACTGTCATCAATCAGACTGGATAATTTCAGACAAAAATACACGAATGAGTTTTAGAAGTGGCTTGATTTTTTTTTTTAAATGAAAGTTTGGGTATTAGTCATCTGTTGCTGCATACAAATTCCCTAAACATTTAGCAGCTTAAAGCAACAAACCCTGCTGCAGAGTTTCTGGGAGTGGGGAATCCAGGAAGGTTCAGCAGGCGCCTCCGGCTTAGGCTCTCATGGGCTGCAGTCACAGCTGGTCAGGGCAGTCAAGGTCAGTCAGGGCGCAGCCTGTGAGGCCCTCTTCTAGGCTCACCCATCTCCTCCTTTTCTGGTGCAGGCTGGCTGCTGGCTGGAGACCTCGGCTCCTTCCTTTGGAGCCTCTCCTTGGGACAACTTGCAACCCAGTGGCTGGCTCCCTCAGGGACCAGGGGTACCCAGGATAGAAGCCCCCAAGAGGATCCTGGTACTTTCACTGTCTCTGGTCACTCGGAGCCCCAGGTCCAGCCCACTCAAGGGAGCAGGGGGTCACATATGTATGGATGTGAGAGTTGAACCATAAAGAAAGCTAAGCGTCAAAGAATTGATGCTTTTGAACTGTGGTGTTAGAGAAGACTCTTGAGAGTCCCTTGGACTGCAAGGAGGTCAAACCAGTCAATCCTAAAGGAAATCAGTCCTGAATATTCATTGGAAGGACTGATGCTGAAGCTACAGTACTTTAGCTACCTGATGTGACGAACTGACTCGCTAGAAAAGACCCTGATGCTGGGAAAGATTGAAGGCAGGAGGAGAAGGGGACAACAGAGGACAAGATGGTTGGATGGCATCACTGACTCCATGGACATGAGTTTGATCAAACTCTGGGAGTTGGTGATGGACAGGGAAGCCTGGTGTGCTGCAGTCCATGAGGTCTCAAAGAGTTGGACATGACTGAGTGATTGAATTGACTACCCTCCTTGGGTTGTCCTTGCCTCTCCTTAAGTGTTTGGGACTTCGTGATAAATAATGGGAACTAAAGGCTCTGCCCTGAGAACCCAGAAGTGGGCTCATTTCTCCCTCTTCAGAGTTAGTGTTTGAGAATGTCCTCAGTGTACATATTTCCAACGTGAACAATTTTATACCTTACAGAACAAGGTTATATAAAACCAAAACAGTGACAAGCATCCTGTGGGAGGAAGGTTCTGGCCCCCTGAGCCCCTGATGGTTTCCTGGGGATGAGTCAGACAGGTGAGGATGCGGAGTGGAGGCTGCCAGACTTCCTGATGGGGACACAGAAGCGGGACGAGTTCACAGGCTCCAACCTCAGCCAGGCTGTGCTTCCTACTCCTGCTGCTTTGTCATATGTGGAGAGAATAAAAACAGGATCTGTGCAAGGAGGGTGGTGAGAGAGAGAGGTAATGCACAGATAAGGCTTGATTCGGGGCAATGCTGGTGTGAGCTGACACTGACATGAACTCGTGTGTCCTGGGCACATGTCTCCAGAGTAATCTGCCTGAAATGTCTTCTTACCGACGTGGTCAGGGACTAGTGATGTCAGCTCCACATTCTCTCTGACGAATGTTCATCCCCATACTTCTCCATCCTGTGAATCTGTTCAATGGACCAGCGAGTGAGTGGGTCCCTGAGCCTGGGGGCCCGTCCTTGTCAGACAGGGTTCCTGAGATAACTGGGGTCGAGCCTGGCCGCAGAGCATTTGACAAAGACTTTCTTCTCTCGTTTTTCCCTTCGTTCTCACCTCTCCTTCTACCCACAGCCTCCCCTGAACACCTCACATGCTCACAGCCCGTTGCCCTGCATCTCTGCAGCGCTTTTCATCCGTGACAGGTTTCATGCCTATCACAGGGGTCCTGGTGCTGCCTCCTGGTTAGGTGATGGGAGCACTGTCATTCCCCGATTCTCACCACACTCCGTGTGATGATGGGCACAGATGGATGCGGCTGTGTTTTTTTCCTAATGGAAGATGCGCTGGGGTCGTGTGGCCACCAGACGCTGCAATGCCCAAGGCCACCATCACCATCACTAAACGCCCTCTTCTCTTCCCACAGCCTGCGCCTTCCGGTACAATGGGCTCTCCTTCGTCTACCTCATCTACCTCCTGCTCATCCCCCTGTTCTCGGAACCGACTAAAGCCACCATGCAAGGTAAGAGCCCCTGGCTCTCTGCTCCAGGGCGGGGTGCATCTGGGGGTCCCCAGGGTGTTGTTACCAGAAGGGAGAGATGCTGGCCCAGTGGGGAGCTGGGGCACTTGGTGGTGATGCGTTTCTGTCACTTGCAGTTGTTTTTCCCACACATGTTCTATGGCAGGCCTGCATTTGTAGGTTTGCAGAGGGTCTGGAAGGTTCTAGAACTCAACATGTGGTCATGAAAATGAAGCAGATCTATAGGTTCTCTGTGCTGGGAGTAGGCGGTGGGAAGTGCAGCTAGGACAGGAGCAGGAGGCCTGGGGAGGAAGTTGGTGGTCGTGGCTGCTTCATAGCTGGGATCTGTCACGAGTGCTCCAGTCGGGTACAGAAAGACACAGATTCTAGTGCTAGTTTTTCAAGCGTGTGATTGCAAACCCGTAGCTCCTTCCCCGATGCTCTCCAGGAACCTGAAGGCGTAGAGAGAAATAGTGACTCTCTTTCCCGAGGCTCCGATGAGGAAGCTGGTCTGATTTGAAGTTCTTCCACAGAGAGACAAATTAAACTGCACTGAGTTAATCGAATTAATTGTTTTTTTGAAATGATGCCATTATAAGAAATCAGAACTGTGCCCCACGTCTTAGGTGAGAATGATGGCCCTGTGTTTATAGCAAAGGACAGGAAGTCAGGCTTGACATGGGAATGGCCGTGGCTCCATGGTGCCTGCTCACAGTGCTGACTTCTCAGGAAAAGCAGTAAAGTCCTGGTGTAAACAGAGTAGTAAATCATGACTCTGTCTTTCCTGTTCTCCCCCGACTGTTAAATTGATTGTTCATCCTGATGGTTAGGACTGCAGATGCACCGTTGGTTTTCCTGCCTTAGGAAGAATCTAAATAATAGCTCTTCTAATTCACTTAAATCTTAATACACACAGTGAAGAAGGGCTAGAGAAATGTGAATCTATACAAATCCTTATCAGACCAAAAATATGTTGTTTACGAGACCCCGCCCACCCAAGCCTCCTTCCTAGAGTCCAATATAAACAAAGACATTTAGATAGCTTAGCTTCTGGCCTCGGAACCAAGATGGTAACACACAGGCAACTCCTTCCTCAGGGCAGGGAGCTCATGTATTAAAGAAAGAAGATTTCACCTTTAGAATTAAGTGCTTTAGAAATGAGTACCTGTTGGTCCTCAGTTAAATGATCTGTTGCTTTTCTGTCAGGGTGTCCCCTTGTTTTATCTGGAACCAGGTCACGGGGTTTCCTTGTCACACTCAGTCATGACGCCTGGCTTTGCTTCTTCCCAAGTGACCCAGCCCTGCTCTGCCCAGGGCCTCAGTCTCTGTGGGGTGGGCATGTGTAATGTGGCCCACCATCTCTGCCCATGCACAGAGGGGATGACTCGGTCAGGAAACATACAGGTGAAGGATGAGATCAGACACGCAGAGCGGTTTTCTGTGTGTAGGAAGAAATGTCTGAATCCCCAGAGTGTCACAGGTCAGAACACAGACAGCATCCTGCGCACAGGTGTTTACCTCCTCCCACACACACCCTACCCAGCTGGGGCCGAGGGACCAGCAGCTCAGAGGGAGCCCGCAGGCATCTTTCCAGCTGGTACCCGGGGGCAGGGCTTGGGGTTGTGTGTCTTGTCCTCCCGTCCTTCCTGTCTTTCAGCGCCAAGGGACATGGCCGAGAGTCACAAGCTTGTCTATTTGCTGTGTCTGGAATCGCACAAGGACTGGAGGGAGGGAGGCCCCACATGGTCTTTATGAACTCACAGGACTCCCAGTTTGGCGGCTCTACTTCTGTGACTGGAGGCACCCAGCCCAGGCATTTCTAGCAGGGCTGCGGTTCAGGGTTCAAGTCACATGGTCCAGGAAGATGCCTGTGTGGCATCCACACAGATGGTGGTGGACCTGGTGGACCTGGAGGGGTGATACCGTGTGTCTTTGCAGAAGTCTCGGGGTCACACACATTCGGCCTTTCAAGTTACTGTTCACACACATTTCTCACAAATGGGTAGGAAGGTCCAGTATCATGGGCGTCTGCTTTGCCTACCATTCAGGGCCTCTGCAGCACAGACGCACACACATGCATGCACACACATGCACACACACATGCCTACACACCTGTGTGCATGCACACACACACACACACTTGCATGCACATGCACACGGGCATGCATACCCCCCCCCCCAACATACAACACACAGTCAAGGTTCAGAGGATGGGAACTCTTAGTAAGTCAGTGTGCAAATTGCTTCTCCCTTCTTTCTCCTTGGATTTCTCAGCAGGAGTCAGATGTCAGTATAGTTTAGGCTCAGGGTGGTCTCAGCAAAGCCCCTCTCCTTGAGCTGGGAATCTCCATCCTCCCAACTCTGTCAGCTCTTCAGACATTCTCCTTGTCCCCCATCCACTCAGGTCTCCCCAGAGGCTGAGCCAGAGCCCACTTTAGTGCAGTTATTTATGGAATCCCTCCTTATGCACCACCTTGAAGATGGCAAGGGTTTTGCTCTTTTGTTCGTGACTGTGTTTCCAGGACCGGGGACAGCGCCTGGTGTCTAGCCGTCCGTCCATCAGTATTTACAGAATGAATGAATGAGTGCATTTGTTTTCATAGTCTAGAGTTCTTGGCATCTAGGAACCCAGCCCTTGTCCTTTGCTCCCCTCGGCCTCCACGAGAGCAAACGTCGCAGGACAGTTGATCACTCACACCTCGGCCTCCACGAGAGCAAACGTCGCAGGACAGTTGATCACTCACACCTGTCTCCTCTGGAGACAGAAGCTTGGGGGTGGGGTAATAGGTCCTGGGATGTTTGCTACGTTAGATTTACTGGGGATCAGGGGATTATGCATAATTGAAGAAATCAGAATGATGTATGCTTTCCTTACAATGTTAGGGATTTTATTGTAGCCTAAGATACTGAAGGAAGGCCAGTTTGCTGTTAGCTTGCTGTTTACTTAGCAGTGGGCTTTGCATTTAAATTGAGACTTCACTCCATTAAATAGGAGCTAATATGTAGTTAACTTCAGGTGGCCCAAATATTGCAAATTGATGAGATATTAAATTCTTTAACTAGACGTGTATGTATTAAGTTCCTTATGCCTATGCATAATGCATATCCCCATTGTGGTGGAACAGTTGGTATTTTGTTTGGATGAACATAAGTGGTAAAATGTATAAGAGGTAAAAGTCTGTATACTGTGTATACTCAGCACACACTGACTGATGATAACATGACTGTTATTTTGAAGGATAATGTTATTACTTTTAATATCAGAGTGAGCTGGATTTAGAAATCTCATTCTTATAGCTAGTCCTAACCTCAAGATATTTCCTAGTGCTCTTTAAATATCAGCTAAGAATTGTGTGATATCCAGGCTTTCTTGTTAACAAGCCCAGGACATACAGGTACTGTGTAGGTGGTCATGCTCTTAACCCCTGTGTTGTCTGACCCGTGCCCAGGACAGAACACTGTTCTCAGTATTGCAAGCACAGAGGGAAACCTAATCACTGAATAAATATTTGTTGGCTGATAGATTACCAGGCCCTGGGCACAAGGATCTGGAGAGATGATATGGGTTTGTTGAGAGGAGATATTTTAATTTGCTTCAGTGCAGAGTGATGACACGTGGGTATTACATAGAAAATACAGCTTATTGAGTGTGATTGTTTATTTCTTTCAACAAATGTTAATTGAAAGACTGCCCTTCACCAAACACTGTGTTTGGGTTTGCAGAGAATAAAAATGAGAAGAAAACATGGTTCTTCACTGTTGTGGTCTTCCAAGCATGCTGGCTCTTGTGTGTTTCATTGAAGGGTAGCTCTGTCAAAGAAGTTGTCTTTGGAAGCCATGGACTTGTTCCAGTGATGCTATCATTTCTTTAGACCAATCTCAGATTAATCCTCTGTGGTCTCCTTTGGACTTTGCCTTAAATAACTTCCCAGGTGGCTCAGTAGTGAAGAATCTGCCTGCCAATGCAGGAGACATGGGTTCAATCCCTGGGTTGGGACGCTCCCCTGGAGGAGAGCACGGCAACCCACTCCAGTATTCTTGCCTGGGAAATCCCACAGACTGAGGAGCCTGGCGGGCTACAGCCCATGGGGACCCAGAGTCGGACACGACTGCAGTGACTTAGCACACGTGCATGCAGGCTCCATGGCAGCAAGTCACTGTCCGTGTAAGGTGGGTCTGATGTGATAGTATTTTGAGTCAACTTTGATGGGGAAAAAACTGGTGATGAATTAGTTATATCAATTTTAGAAAAGAAAAAAGACAAAACCCAGAGTATTGAGTGTAAAACAGTGCCTGAAGGTCATGCCTCACGATCATTGAGGAGGTTTAAGATTTATTGGATGACACATCCGAATGACAAAAAATGGAACATCTTTCTGTGATGGGTTCATGTGGATGCGTTGGATGTATGAGACTAAGACATTGGGCAGAGTGAGATGGGGGAACCAGAAGGCAACATCCTGAAGGAGGTACTGATTAGCTCGATCTACCTGAAGTCTTGACCACAGCCATCAGGCGACGCCTACCTGGCCCAGACCAGAGAGTCAGGTGGTGTGTCTTCAGAGGCCTGGGGACTGAGGGTGCTAAGAGCAGGTCAGTTTCCTATGTGTCAGGAGCTGTGGTGAGTGCTCCCTATACATGACCTCATTTAATTAGAGGGTGGGAAATGATTGATTGAAATGGCAGGAACCCCCCTTCTCTCTGGAATGAAAAAACCCACTGGGTTATGAATCCACTTAACCAGCTAGGAACCTGCATGGTGAAGGGCTGGTGTGATTGCACTCTCTTCCTGCCATGGAGATTGGTGAGACTCAGTCACTTTTAGGACAGTCTAGATTCCTGACTAGTTCTCATCCTACCTCACCAGTCTCCATCCATCAGGGAGCGCTTCCGCTCATAAGGCTGGGTCTCACCATCTGGTTCCACACACCTTATCATACTTTCTTAGATTTTGGTCCTGTAGATGTTCAGAGTCCCAAGTCTTTTTCAGTTGGTTTCGACAG